ATTGCAATAAGACAAAAACTAGGCCAACACGTCTTCTGCAAGGAAAAAAAAAAATCATGATAAGGATGAATTTCACCCAGCCAGTTTTCCCTTTGCATCCAGCTGCAGCTCACGAAAACCAATGCTTTTTATAAATTTTGCTGCTCGTAAGATAAGGGACTGCAGTGATAATGTGGGGAATGACCTGGGAAACAGAAGGAAGAACTTCAGCCAGGGGAATGGTTGGAGAAGAGGCAGCTGAGCCTACAGAAAGATAGTCAAATATCTCAGAAGGAATCCTCCTGTTGTAACGACGAGGCAGTCGAGTTGTTTGATCATGACCAACTGAATCATGATGAACTTTATTGGAGTCTAGTCTTGCATTTATATACATTTTTAGTTATCCTCCATCATTGGTTAACTTTGGTTACTGCTTAACTTTCGTTACTGTTTAGTACAGTAATCCATACAATTAATTATCTCTAGTTAAAGTCTAACATATGTTTACTTCCTCTCTCTAATCCTCCTTTAGATTAGTGACCTTGTTTGCCTGAGTTGTATTTGCTTGGAAACATTCTTTATCTGAGGTTTGCCATCCGAGATTGGAACATTCCTGCAATTACAACTCTACATCCTCCCTACTTTTTTAGGCTGTAAAGGTGAGTGGGGAACTTTCAGGGACTTTCAGATTTGCAAGAACCTATTTAGAGCAAATAGCACCTAGACTTCTATACCGCTTCACGGTGCTATTACAGCCCTCTCTATTGTAAGCAGTTTACAGAATCAGCCTCTTGCCCCCAACAATCTGGGTCCTCATTTTACCAACCTCAGAAGGAGGGAAGGCTGAGTCAACCTTCAGGCAGTCAGGATCGAACTGCTGGTAGTCGGCAGAATTAGCCTGCAGTAGTGCATTCTAACCACTGCGTACCATGGATGGATGGATGGATGGAATGGATGGATGGATGGATGGATGGATGGAAGGAAGGAAGGAAGGAAGGAAGGAAGGAAGGAAGGAAGGAAGGAAGGAAGGAGAAAAAGAAGAGCAATAGCACTTAGACTTCTATACCGCTTCATAGTGCTTTACAGCCCTCTCTAAGCGGTTTAGAGTCAGCCTGTTGCCCCCAACAATATGGCTCCTCATTTTACCAATCTTGGAAGAACGGAAGGTGGAATCAACCTTGAGCCAGTCAGGATTGAACTCCAGGCTGTGGGCAGAATCAGCCTGCAATACCACATTCCAGCCGCCGTGCCACCAGAGCTAACCTTACAATAAAGCTAGAGCTAGAGTCCTTCCGGATGTGCTTCTTGCCCTGGATGACATCGCAAGACTGACCTCAATCTTGCAAGCCTGAAACTACGTTTCTCCCCTTAAGCTGTCTTTTATTCGCCTATTTCTCCTGGCTGCAGCTCTTCAAGGGCCTTCCCCACAAACTCTTACAAACAGACGGGCGATGATCTTAAGATTATCGGGCTGCAAACTCACCAGACTCCCTTTAAACAGAAAATAGCCCTGGACCTTTCAGGAAAATGGGAGATTGGACTGTGTTATTCTGGTTGGATTCTGCTTATTCTGTATTTATATGTATCTATAAAAGCGAAATGCCACTCACGCATCATCACAAAATCTCCAGAACTGTAAAACCTACAAACCTGACATTTGGCACGTATGTTTCTCTTGGCTTCTAGGTGCTCACTAAGAAAGGATTTGTTGAAATGGCTATCAGAACATAAGTATTTCTTATATTATTATTATTATTATTATTATTATTATTATTATTATTATTGTTGTTGTTGTTGTTGTTGTTGTTGTTGTTGTTGTTGTTATTGTTATATATTATTATTATTATTATTATTATTATTATTAACATGTTCTGATGCTAAGGAGTTCTACTCCCCCTCCCCACCTGAAAAGAAATCTCTTCCAAATGCAAAACACAAGTTTCAGTTTTAGTTTTACTTTCACAGCACCAAGCAGCTTTAGTACAGATCAGTTGAGCTAAGCCACGCCCAGGCTCCTTGCTGTCTCCTTCTTGCTCACACAGCAAATGCTGCTTCAGTTTCCAAACAGCCCTCAACTCTCTCACACACACTGACAGAACGCCAGCCAGATGAACAGTGATGGAGGCTGGTAGGCAGAGGCAAAAAAATGCTTTCCCTTATTTTCCTCCCCCTAAAACTAAGCCTGGTCACGTAGTTTCGTAGCAAAGCACGGGTATCGAGCTAGTTCTGTAATATTCTTATCCTGCTTCTGTAAAGTCCAACTTTCGCCTCTGTAGAATGCCACAGGAAACATTGTGGTTTGCACGATTCTGATCTTTGCACGATTCTGATGCACATCACGGGCATCTGAACTATTTGAGCAAAGGTTTCCTAGATTAAATCAGCCAGATAGGAAAGTAGCCAGGGTTGAAGAAGGGTTGGAATTGGGTTATCTTTAGGCAGGGGCTCCCTCTAGCGAGAGCGAAGCACCATGTCATTCACATCCAGTGTTTTTCAACCTTGGCGACCTGAAGTTGCGTGGACTTCAACTCCCAGAAGTCCTCATGGCTGGATAGAGGGTTCTGGGAGTTGAAGTCCACCCATCTTCAAGCCGTCGAAGGTTTGAAACAGTGCACCAAATGCTTTGTGTCAAGGGGCGTGAAATCACACAACTTTGGAAAACTCAACACGATTTGTGTGGGATTGAATTTTGATTATTCAACTTAGAACCCTACGCTTAGTGACTTTTTGAAGTTGCAACTGCACCAAAGTGACTTGACTTCTTTATTGTCATTTTACGTATATACACAGTATACATACAATGAAATCCACAACACACCCTTGTGGAGTACTGTGAAGCTGTTACCATGGCAAGTCCATTGTGCTGTACAGTAGAAGCCATTTTAAGGCACACACACACCCCGAGGGGTGTTAGGAGTATCTTACCCCCACAGTATTTGTTTCCAGAGGGTAAGTCATCTGTGTACCACATTTGGTTGAAATTGCTCGAGGCATTCCCTTATCCTGGAACTTGTGTGTGTGTGTGTGTGTGTGTAGAAAAGTTCCAGCACAACAACCGTAAAATATAGAATCCTTTATAAAAATAAAGAGGAGGAGGAAGAGGAGGAAGAAGAAGAGAAGGAGGAAGAAGAAAAGAAGAAAAGAAGGAAGGAAGGAAGGAAGGAAGGAAGGAAGGAAAGAAAGAAAGAAAGAAAGAAAGAAAGAAAGAAAGAAAGAAAGAAAGTAAGTACATCGAAGGGTTAGTGTACACCGATTAGTATGGGGCCCCTATGCTTGTGGGGCCCACGGGCAAGTGCCCATCAGGCCCATGCATTAAGACAGCCCTGGTCATAAGTCAAGGACTACCTATATTTGAAGAAAGGAACGAAGGATGGATTCAGCTTGGGTGTTACAGATATAATTTGTAATCCTTAAAGTTGTCGTTTCTGATCATCCGTGCCGGAGCTTTGCAGTTTAATAGAGATAGATGACGGTTTAGAGATGCATTTATAGAAACTGGGCGAAGATATGGAATAAAAAGATACTGGGTTTCATTTTAAGAGATTGTGGCAAGTTCTTAATGTTGATTATACTGGCTGAGGATGGAAAAGGATATTTCTTTTTTTTTTTCTATTTTTATCTTTGCTCTTTCTTTTTCTTCTTTCCTGCTCCGTTTGAGGTAGCTTCTTATTTTGAAATTGTGTCAAGTTTACTCGTATCGTTTTGTCCCTTTTATTGAAAAAATAAGAGAGGAAAACTCATCAACTCCTGAATTCTACAAAAACTGTTTCCACATGTACAGCATATATCTCAGCCGCTCAGTTCTGTTAAATCTTTTAACAAGTAATTGAAAAAAAAATATTTTAATGTGCAGAAATGAACAGATAAAAATTGGAAATGAAAGAAAAAGAACAATCTGAATATTACATGGTATGGGGTTTATTTTACCAACGGTTAGAAAATAAAACAAATTAAAATGGATTAGAGGGATATATAATAGTGATAAGATTGTAAAGATAGATACACTGGGTATTACTTACATGAAAACATGATTATTTGGTATATTGGTATATTAATAAGAAGAGTATTAATTGTAAACTGTAAGCACATGAAATTACATGTACCTAATCGACACACGGTTGAAATGGAATGGATTTATTGTATATAAAAAATAAAATCATTTAAAAAAATAAATCTTTTAACTCCCAATACCAATCAATTGAACTCTAGATTTAATGGAGTTCCCCTCCCATACCTCTTTAGAATAGAATAGAGCTGGAAGGGACCTTGGAGGTCCTCTAGTCCAGCCCTCTGTTCAAGCAGGAGAACCTATACTATTTCAGATAAGCGACTGTCTAGACTCTTCTTAAAAACCTCCAGTGATGGAACGTCCATGATTTCTGAAGGCCAGCTGTTCCACTGGTTAATTGTCCTGTTAGGACGTTTCGCCTTAATTCTAGATTGCTTCGCTCTTTGATTAGTGACCCATTAATGATGCCACTAAGATCATGGCATCCGCCCCTCTCAATTCCTGGCAAACAGATGGGGAAAAAATGGAGGTAGTGACAGATTTTATTTTGCTGGGCTCCACGATCACCGCAGATGGGGCCTGCAGCCAAGAAATTAAAAGACGCTTGCTCTTGAGGAGGTGAGCTGTAGCAAATCTAGACGGTGCATAGAGTCAAGGCTATGGTTTTTCCCAGTGGCGATGCCTGGCTGTGAAAGTTGGACTATAAGGAAGGCTGAGCACCAAAGAATGGAGGCCTTTGAACTCTGGGGCTGGAGGAGATTCCGGCGAGTCCCTTGGACTGCAAGGCGATCCAACCGGTCAGTCCTAGAGGAGATCGATCAACCCTGACTGCTCTTTAGAAGGCCAGATCCTGGAGATGAAACTCAAAGACTTTGGCACCTCATGAGAAGGAAGGAAGGACTCAGGGGAGAAGAGCCAAATGCCAGGAACGATGGAGGGGAAGAAGAAGAAGAAGAAGAAGAAGAAGAAGAAGAAGAAGAAGAAGAAGAAGACAGCAGAGAAGGAGGGGGCTGGATGGAGTCACAGAAGCAGCCGGCGTGAGCTTAAATGGACTCCGGAGGATGGTAGAGGACAGGAAGGCCTGGAGGAACATTGGGGCTGTGATGGCTCAGACAGGACTTTGCAACTAACAACGACCACGAGGTGGGGGGGCAGATAAGGGAAGGCTTCTTGTAACAGAACGATCCACTTCAATATTATTAAAACGGGAACATTTGGACAGATCCCTGTCAATCCTTTCAAAGAAGACCAAACAGGGTTTCTAGCCCTATTTGTGTCACGCAAGCTGCCATTCTGTTTGTGAGAAAACTGTGGTGCTCGGGTTGCTGTCGACTGGTGTGGTTGGTCCCAAAGTAAGCAAACATCCCTTGGGTGTGTTTGCTCAGCTCTGCCGTTTACATGCCGAGGAGCAGGTGTTCACCCCACAATCACAGGGACTGGGAAGCGTTCATTTGGTTCTCTGTTTCTTCCTGGCTTGGTCTCTTTGCTCAACAACATCTCCCTGGACTTCCTCTCGGCTCACAATCGGTAAAGAGGACAAACGCAGCTTTTGAGCCAAAGCCCAGGTCCAGAGGCATTTTTCCACCAGGTGAGCCGTCCAGGTTTCCGTGGTGCTACCTAACAAAACATAGGATACAGAATAACAGAGTTGGGAGGGACTTGTGATGACTGATATTCTCAAAGTGGCCTATTTCGGCATCAGAAAGTTCATAAGGTAGGCAAAAATGACCATTAACAAATGTCTCACTTAACAACAGAAATGTTGGGCTGAATCGTGATCGTAAGTCGAGGATGACCTGTACAATCTAAGCAATAAACGCCACAAATAAATACATTTTCTCTGCTTCCCATCTCTTTCAATTGGTTCTCTTTATTTTTCAGCCTACTAATGTTCTGATGGTCATTTCAAAAAATTCTTTCTTAGTGAGCCGCTAGAAGCCAAAAGGTAACATATGTGCCAAATTTCAAGTTTGTAGACTTTACGGTTCCGGAGATTTTGTGATGATGCGTGAGTGATAATTTGGCTTTTATATAGATAGATTTAAGAAAATTTATACGGCCGCCCAACTCGCTCTTAGTGACTTCATGAATGGTATAAGGACTTGGGTTGGGGGTTGGACTAGAAGACCTCCGAAGTCCTTTCCAGGCTTACAGTTCTATGATTCTGGAGGATAGTGAAAACTTTCTCTTACCCTTGTTCAGTTTCTTCACACAGCCCTGAATCTTATCCATATAAAGCAGGTAATGTTTCAGGGTGTATTGGAGAGGTCCCAGGCCTGGGAGGATCTCCATCACTTCATCGGCCATGAATGCAGCGATATCCGGGGCTCCAGCAGCGAGAATGGCTAAAACGGAAACGGAAACACGGGGCGATGGAAGAAATAATTGGGGGGGGGGGGGGGGGAGTGACAGGGTGTGAAGCCTCCCTGCCCAGAAGGAGGCAGGCTCATCCCTGCCTGATACTTCTAATTTTTTTACTAATTCGATTTCGAATCTGTTTATTGTTTGGATTGCTTCGATCCCGTCTTTTCGCCTTGCATCGGGGTGGAAATAAATGGACTCGGAGGATAATGACCATGAGGAAATCACGATGGATCAAAGGCATTAGAAAACAGCCACCATAGAACATGAAAAAAAAAAATTTACGGAGTGACAGAATAACAGAGGTAGAAGGGACTTGGAAGGTCACCGACCTTTTGGACCTCAGGGACCACCAAACTCATAATTTAAATCCCGTGGACCACTAATATGAATTTTGACAGATGGTGGCTGCAGGAAAAAAAAAAGTCTGCAGAAAAATTCCCCACCCCGTCTTCGATCATTCTTTATTTGGTATCGCAGGATACCGTCTCCAGCTCCGTTCTCGGGGGTGGGGGAGAGACTTTTGGCTTCGTGCAAGGAAAGCAGCAGAAGTCTTTCTTTCTCTCCCCCAAACTCCGCCAGAAATGAGTCTTTGCCGGTGCAGCCTCTTGTAGAAAGATGCCTTGCAGGGTCCCGAAGACTCATTTCTGGCGGAGTTTGGGGAGAGAAAGAAAGACTTTTGCTGCTTTCCTTGCATGCAGCCAAAAACAGAAGAAGGAAGAAGCAGAAAGAAGCAGAAAAAAGCAGCCTGGTGGCCAGGCAGGCACGTGGGACACTGTGACTATTATTAAGTGTTGTACCTGATGATTCTCGAGTCTTGATGAATGTATCTTTTATGTACACTGCGAGCATTTGCACCAAGACAAATTCCTCTGTGTTCAATAACACTTAGCCAATAAAGAATTCTCTTCTCTTCTCTATTTTATTTTCTATTGTATTGTATTCTATTGTATTGTATTCTATTTTCTATTCTCCTCTCTTCTCCTCTCCCCGATTCTAAAAACCTCCAGTGTTGGAGCATTTACAACTCCTGGAGGAGTTCCACTGATTAATTGTAACCTGACATTAATTTGTAATCTTGCCATTTTTGTACCTGAAGCTGTGGCTGGCCCGACGCCCTTCAGTTCACTCAACTCCTTCACGGCCGCTTCTACATCTGGGAGTCGTTGGAAAGCTTTTCTGGTATGTTCCTCCACCATCTTGCTCGGATTAGCAGCCAGCAGCTGCTGCAAACGAGGCCGAAATTTTCCTCTCTGGAAAGGCCAAAAGCAGAAATGATCCGCTTTGGAATACGAGCTGCAAATCTTTAGCGTGATTTCATTATGTCAACTGTCTATTTTGGCCATCCTGTGTCTTTCCTCGGTGCGAGGCTTAAACCTTCTGTCTCTTCTTCAAATTTCATGTCTCTACATCTCGATGCTGGCTATTCCCTTTGCCCTTCTTGGAACTCACATAATTTGGGCTGTTTCCTTTTTTTCCAAAAGAGGTGCCCAGAATAGGGCACAGGACTTGGTCCAAAACCTATCCAGCTCAAAAAAAAAAAAAAGATATTTATCTGGCATGTTTGGCAATGTGATGAATAACGATTCCAAATAGCCAAATTTTAGACACCCTGAACAAGAAGTCATCTTTGTGGATTCTAACACGCTATACGCTAAAATGTCTCGAGCGAATTTGGCTTCAGAATGATTGAGGAAAACAGCAAAGGAATGGGATGTTCACCTTCCAGAGTTATTCCACAAAGTTCCTGGATGACACTGGACCTGCCAGTCTCTTTCAGCCCAACCTACCTTACAGGGTTGTTGTAAGGAAAAACTGGAGAACAGAACACCGTGGATGCTTGCTAAATGAAAGCTTTCAAACCTATTCAGAAGATACTAATATGCCAATAGCATCTTCACTACATCCATTAAAGGAGGATATTTGGAGCTCAGGGTTGAAATGAGGGGGTCTCAGTGCTCTCTGAGGTAGCTTGTTTTCTTGCAGATATTTCGTTACCCAAACTAGATAACTGTTGTGGTTTGCCGGCAGCCTGTGCAGACGGCAGTGGAATCGGACAGTGGGGAAGAAAGGGGACCAGTCAGGGAGTCTGGGAGGATTCGGACGAGGGTCCTGTCTCCGATGCAGAGATGGGGCCGGGACCATGTGGGAGTGTGGTACTGCCTTTGGAGCCTCCGGAGTCTGGCAGCAGCGAGGAAGAGGAACAAGGGGAGCCTGTTCCCAGTGTGTGTGTGCACAGAGCTGCTAGAAGGCAAGAGCAGCTGAGACAAAAGGGGCGACTTGGGAGTAAGGCTTGGAGGTGATTGCCCCTCCCATAAGAGATAAAAGTCAGGCCAAGATGATGAAACCTTTGCAGGAAGCAAAGTCGTTCACTCTGTTCGGATTAAACCTTGAAGCTCTGTGTGGACTTTGTACTCCGTTTGGCTTTTTAGAGTTAATTTGGCACTTTAGTTGTTGGCAGCAATTCAAAGGAGAGAAAGGTGGGTGCTTATCTCGAGGGACTGTTTGAAACTCATTACAGGCTGGGAATGAACATAATTCCCAGCGTTGAAATAAAACAAGTCTTGTTTTAATTACGGTCTTAGGAAGCCTTAGTCAGAATAGTAATGTCATCAGTGCACCTTGGGTAATGAAATGCCTGCAACAAAACAAGCAAGCTCAAGGGAGCACCAAGGCCCCCTCCTAAACCCATTTTACAGATGGGTTTTAAAGGCTGAGCTCTCGTTGAACTGCGGAAATCTGTTTTAGCGCTTCTGAGAGAAATACCTACGGTAAGCTTCCATTCCATGAGTTTCAACAATTCCTCTTTCGTCAAGTATTTTTCCTCACGCCCAGTAAGAATTTTGGGCAACTCTTCTTGATACCTTAAAAAGAGACAAAAAAAAACAAACAGTAAAAACATACAGAGCCTTCCTCATTCTCAAAGGGACATTTTTTAAAGAAGCTTATGGAAATAAGAGGGTGGCGATGCATAAACTGTCTTAAAATGCAGTTAAAATTCTTTCCCTACACATGGAAAATTGTCAGCTGGGCCTACCAGGGCTGATAACCTTCATTAAACCGTCCAAATTACACATCAGTAATTTACCACTGATCCAAGGCAATTAGTTTCTTCTTCTTGCTTCCCATAGCTTCAATCACATCCTGGTAAATGTTCAAAACAGCTTCCCAAGAGGATGAATCCTTGCATGCATAAAGTCCCCCTTTCTCTGTCATGATTTAAGGCCTCCTGGAACAGAGAAAAATCAAAATATTAGGTAGCCAAGGGCAGAGTGGTCATCTTCGTTTTTTATGTTTGGTTGTTTAAAACAGTATTTCTTAAGCTTGGCAATTTTAAGATGGGTGGACTTCATCTCCCAGAATTCTTCAGCCAGCTTAGCTTAGCCAGCTGGGGAATTCTGGGAGTTAGTCCACCCATCTTAAAGAAGAGAAGAGAAGAGAAGAGAAGAGGAGAGGAGAGGAGAGGAGAGGAGAGGAGAGGAGAGGAGAGGAGGAGAGGAGAATAGGATAGGATAGGATAGGATAGGATAGGATAGGATAGGGAATGGAATGGAATAAAGTATGGAATGGAATAAAATATGGCATGGCATGGCATGGCATGGCATGGCATGGCATGGCATAGCATAGCATAGCATAGCATAGAATTCTTTATTGGCCAAGTATGATTGGACACACAAGGAATTTGTCTTGGTGCAAATACTCTCAGTGTACATAAAAGAAAAGAGACATTCGTCAAGAGTCAAGAATCATCAGATCCAACACTTAATGATAGTCATAGGGTACAATAAGCAATCAAATCATACTAGGAAACAGTCAATATAAATCATTAGGATACAAGCAACAAGGTTACAGTCATATAGTCACAAGTTGGAGGGGCTGGGTGAAAGGAAGGATAGGAGGATTAATAATAATAGTAATGCAGACTTAGTAAATAAATAATAACTTAGTAAAGTTGGCCAAGCTTGAGAAATAATGACTTAGGGTATTATCTAAACTGTGACCCAAAGTGCAAAGCCAAGTCAATCATATCTGGGAGATTCTAAGCAAAACCCTTGTTTACACACGCCTGTGTGTTCATGTTTAAGGATTTCAGCCCCAAACTTTGCAAGCAATAAGCCGGATTTAGCTCAATATGGGATCCTTTCCATCATGGGTTGCCTCCTGTCACTCAAGGCTAAACCGCTCAGCTATAATTGTTCAACGTAATTGTGGTCAGATATAGTACCCAAATGTGCTGTGACATGCAGACAAGACAACCTGCAGCTTTGCCAACTTTGTGGGTTATTTATTTTGGGTTTTTTGGTACTTTTGAGTCAATTTTGATTCTTGCTGCTTGACGGTACAAATCCCTGCAGTTTCCTTGGCAATGTTTCTTGGAAGTGGTGGCCCTTGCCTGCTTCCTAGGGCTGAGAAAGAGTGGGTGGCCCAAAGTCTCTGGCTTGAATGCCTAAGGCAGGACTGGAACTCACAGCCTCCCAGCTTTTAGCCTGATGTCTTAGCCATCACATCAAACTAGCCCTCATTAAGAACAATAAAAGTCCCTGTAGTTTTCCTGACAAGGTTTTGGGGAAGGGGTTTCCCACTGTCTCTTTCCAAGAGCTGAGAGAGGGACTGACCAATGATCACCCCACTGGCTTTGTGCCCAAGGCAGCACTAGAACTCACCACCTCCCAGTGTCTAACCTGGTAGACACCAAAGTTGCTTTTAATTTTGGTTTAACTCGCCGTTTCATTCATCAACTGAAATCCAAGGTATCTTAGCAGAACGTGGAACCTCCCCCTTTGGTGAGATCGATCAAAACTCAACAGAATGACAGAGTTGGAAGGGACCTTGAAGGTCTTCTAGTCCAGCCCCTTGCTCAAGCAGGAGACCCTGGCCTACACCATTCCAGACAAGGGGCTGTCAGCCTCTTCTTAAAACCCTCCAACGATGGAGCGTTGGGATCCAACCTGCACTTTAACCAACCAAACGAGGCTTAGTATGGAAACAGCCCAGCCACTCCTCCCCCCCCCCCCGCGCCCCTCCATCCCCCAAGCCGAGGCCCATCAACCACGGTTAGGCTCCACAAGCCAGGGGTTGCTCCCTCGAGCAGCTCCACCGATGATCCGCTTTTGGAGTCGGGGCGCTTCGCCGCCCGGGCACAACGGAGGCAAACCCTGCGGGACTCCCGCTCCTTGTCCGGCGGCGCCCCCCACTCCCCGCGCCCGACCGTTAAGCCAACCGACTGTGCGCAACCAGAGCCGGTTGGGCGCAAAGCGGGGAGGACAAAGCGCCTCTGATTCCCTCGGCTGGGCGCAGAGACTCCCCCCCACCGGCGGCCGGAGCGCGAGGTCGTTCTCCTACCTGTTTGTCCAGCGCTCGCTCAGCGACCCCCTGACCACTTACTCAGCCAGCACCCCACCACACCCCTCCGTTAGCCTCGCTCCGGGACCCCCCACCCCCCCCTCCCGCCCTTCCCCCCCCCCCCAACCCCCCCCCCCCCCGGCTGCGCTCAGCCACTCACCGTCCGCCGGAAAGAGAGGTCGCCCTCCTGGCGGCTCGCTCAGCGACCCCCAACCCACCCTGCCGTC